GCCGGGCTGCGGGTGCTGGACGCCGCCGGCAAGCTCGTGCTGCCCGGCGGCATCGACACGCACACGCACTTGCAGTTCCCCTTCATGGGCACGAGGTCCGTCGACGACTTCCACCAGGGCACCAAGGTACCCACGCGCCCTCGTCCCGGGAGGCCCCATGGAGTCCTCCGGCCACCTCTCCAGCCGCCGCGGGGTTCCAGAGCAGAGCGCCCGAGCCTGCGCGGCGCTGGAGGGACCGAGGGGCCAGGAGCCAGCCGCCGCCGCCCAGCCCGTGTAGAGATTAAGATTCAATTTTCTAAACAAGTAAGATTTGCCCTGAAAAAGACTTGATGAGATTAAGATTCTCCACGCCGAGGTGCCTTCTAGGCGCTCCTTTTCGGTGGCATCGGCCCACCTCGGCTAACCCAGCTGTCTCCTACTCAATTTGGGTAATTTGACGAGTTGAAAGCAACTTGTTCCCTTATCCTCGTTTCTCTACACCTTATGTCCATCTGCCCTCCTCCCCCATTTTCATTTGTGTTCTATGGAACTCCACTAGCTTTCCATAATATGTATAGAATCTTTGTTCCCTTGGCACTCCCAGACGTTTCTCCCCATCCTCTGTCCCCAGCCAGAACCAAAAGAAAAATCCATTCACCTAGTAGTTACTGCCTTGACTCATTAATCAGTGTGTTTTGGGTGGTGAGAAGTCTGGGTGGGCTAGAAGCCCAGCTTGTCCACAATTTTTGCCTTCATCTTCTAAGATGAATTTTCTAAGATGAGGTTTCTAAGATAAATATTCCAGATATGATCTTCCAGGCACCACCTCTTCTCTGAACTTCTTGCCCTGGGGACATTAAATACAGCCTTTGATTCCTGTTAATGGACCACCTGCACCTCCACTGAGGGTGCAAGAGGATCAGATCATCCATCCCCAGGTTAGGGAACTTGAGTTTCCCTAGACTCAAAAGCCTAGAACCTCAGGTCTGTGAAAAGAACCTTAAACTTTCCCCAAGGCTCCTGAAAAAGAGATGAGAAGATGAACTGGGCAAGAATATATAGTTAAAAATCTACTTCAGCCAAAGCCAAGCCTCACCCGCCCTTACGTTGGTGGTCAGGGCTGTCGTGAGGGAAATGGCGCCTTCCTAAAGGATTTTCCCCCAGGAGACACCTGGATGTGTGGGAAACAGCTGGGGCTCCAAGTATAGGCATTTCAGGCTTTCAAAGAGTTTTGACGATTCGATTCGTTTACCCTACTGATTTCTAACATTTTCACTCTCCTTACACCTCCTCCAATCCACATTACCCAATCAATCATCCATGACTGACCAGAATATTGAACAGAAAAACAAACAAACAAACACACTTTGACCCAGAGAAAGGGGTCTGGGGCAGGTTGCTCACATAAGCATTTGGAACGCTTCCTCCTGGTTACTGATTGTCAACCTTTATCATCAGGGCGATGGTCAAAGTGTTTTGTAGGACAGATCTTACTTGTTTTGAAAATTGAACATTCATTTTCCCCTTTTGTCAAAAACGGAAATTTGCTAAACTTTAATAAACTTATTTTTACAGTTTATGTAAAATTTTCAGATATCAAAGCAATACAAATTATAGAAAATGGGAAAAATAGGAAAGGAGAAAGAGAAAAATATTACCCATAATCTTCCACTTCATGACACCCAACATTTTGTATATTGTCGTTATGCCTTTTTAATATGCTTTTTTTTACATAATTGATACTATATTGCACATGTGTGTGTGTACCCATATATAAAATTTTATAATGTGCTGTTTTCAGTTACAGTACAAGTAGTTTCTGTTATCACAGACTCATCATTAACAAAGTGCTTTGTGATGGCAGGTCATTCCTTCCCTTTCTCAAGATTATTCTGCCTGTGCCCCAAGGCCCTTGGAGGGTTTCTTAGTCTTCTACATGTTCCTTGACTGAATCTGGAATTCCTGGATGGAAAGATTTACAGTTCCATACTGAGAAGACAGGTCATTGTAACATACAAATATCTATTGTCACCGTCTGAAAGGACTTATGGGTCAGCTGATAGTCTAGGCATTTCTATACTCAAAGGCTGTCAAAACATTAAACAAAAACATGTTCGTGAGCTTAGGATCGTAAGCAGAAAACAATGTGGTCAGAGATGTTAAGGTCAAAAATTTAGCAAATACTAAATTCATCTTGACTATTAAACAGTGCTCACAGTAATTCTCAAGGCAGTATTGCTGGGATTTCTGGTTTGGGAAAATAGGGAGAAATAAGTCTTTTGTAAATGCTCGTATTATATATATATTAAACTTGAAAAGCATCTTATTAATTCTGTTAAGTGACATTTATTTTATCAAGCACTTACTATGTACCAGGCACGGTGCCAAGCTGTGCATTATCTTCCAACAATCCCAAAGGCCATCACCTACTTTTTACAACTGAGGAAACTAAAACTTAAGTCACTTGCCTAAGGCCACTCACGTAGTAAGTGACCAAGTGGCTCTTCCAATTCAGGACTGCCTGCTAGCACTAGAGATCTTACCTACTAGACTCTCTTCCTTCCTGATGTGAGTGTTGAAAAGATATCTAATGTTTTAATTTCTCAGATAGTAAGCAATGGATGAAAAAGCTGTATACCTTGCGTGGTAATGTGAGATGGTTTTTCTCAAAAATAGAGCAAAGTCATCCTTAAGAAATACAGTAGCCTTTCACCTTCCCAGTGCAGTTAAGGTTATCAAAACACACATCACAGGGATTAGTTTTGTGAGGCATTTCTACATGCATTTAGAGCCATGTCATCTCTAAGAGTACAGAAGCGTGTACCTTAAATACGGAAAGCCACAAAATAAAAATAACATGTTATACTGTCGGTATAAAAATTTCCAAACCTTCTGAGAATTTTTATAAGAGTTTATTTGAGCCAAACTAATGTCAGTTTCCTGGAAGCAAGATCTCAAATGTCCAGAGAATAACAGTTTTGCAACTTCTTTTAGGCATTTGAAATTAAGGAAGGAATGAAAGGAATACCACATGAAGGTGGGAGAAAGCAAGGCAAGGGTTGTATTACAGGATGGTTAACAAGGTTATGTGCTTTCTTGAGGGTGGTTATCCTTATTTCAAAGGAGTGTGAACCTAGATGCACGGAAACAATGGACAGGGCTCGCTTAGGCAAAGATAAACCCTTCACTAAAAATGTTATATATCTGAGGTGTGACCCCCACCATGACCTGCCCAGTTAGGAATTTATGATCAGATCACCCTGTGAGGTTATTTTTTGTAGAAACCTTTTTTTACCCACAATGCTTTCAGGAGATGGGCCCCAAAATGTCAGACCAATAGCTGTTTGCTTTCTGCATCCACCAGGCTGATTGTGTATAATATCTGACAAATAGAAGGAATACTGTTTGTGGTATTCTATTTATTGATTACTAGATTGTGATGGTGCCCAATTTAAAAAATGAAATATAGGTCAACCAAAGGTTATATATTTTATAAATCTAATTCATGTCAGAGGTTGGTTTAAAGCCTATAATTAATTTATTTAATTAAAGATAAAAGCTTTCTATCTGATATAACTAATGGAAATAATGTTCTGTTATAAAGAAATCATATTTCATGTTGTTCGTCTATACTAAATGTATGGTGGTCTTTCAATAATTCAATATCTGTGAAGAAAGACAATGATTTTTTATTCAAATGGATATTGTGAATTAGATAAACTTGAAGGAATTATGACTTTGTTTTTACTATATCCTGTGATAAGAGAATGAATTACAAGCGCTTGGCCAGTTTTCTAATATATATATTACTGGAGAGTGGGGTTCCCCTCTCGGCGTGTTGTCCAGGCTCTCGATGTTTCGAACAAAGAATTGAACAAGACACAGAAATACAACAGAAAAGAGTAGCTTTATTAGAAGGGAAAATAAAGCAACAGTCCACTTCTAGAGAAGGGTTGCTCAAAGGATCAAGGAGTCAAGGGCACAGTAACAAAGTCTTTGGGGTTTTTATCCCCATTCGCTGTGGGCAGTTACTTCTTGATTGACAACTAAGATGGACAGAACTCAGTGACTCATCGTTTTGCTTTCTGCGCATGTTCGTTCCCAGAATTCAGTCTCTTATAATGATATTAATGACTTCCGGGCATGTGCATCGTATTATAATGATAGTATAATGAGGCTCAGGTGAGTTGCAGGTCGTTGGGCCTTCATTGCGCAGATGTACGTGACTGGCTGAAACTAGTACCCAATTGTCTGCTTATTTCCTTGTATGAGTTATTTTTAGCTCCAAAATGCCTTCTGGCTTGCTTAATTGTGGGCAGACTAGAGTGGACTCTTTCTAGAATAAGATGACCTCAGCGTTTTCGCAGGCGGACCAGAAATCCCCTATCTAACTTTCCTGCCTAATACTTTTCTAAGAGCCATGAACCCCTTTTTATTAGTATGGATGTTGAGGGACGGGAGGTCTCTTCTTCTGTATCTGCTTCCTTCTGAGGAAGATCGTAGTCCCTGCCTATTGGGGTTTCATGGAGCTCTTTCTCTCTCTGCCCCAGTCAGGACGGGGTCTTGGGTATCCTGCCGAAGTGCCACCTCTGTTCCTACACAAGGAAAAGGATACACACTTGTTATTTGAATCATATATCTAGTTATGTTTCTATCATTAATTTGCCCATCAAGCAGGTAAAGGAAAACAGATTTGGTTAATAGATTTCATAAAAGGAAAAAAAGAGAAAAAAAATTGGGTTAAAGGTCCCCACCCTCCTCAGGCTCTAAAGGCCCTGCAAGGAGAATGCTGAGTTTCAATGATCCTTATCAATAGCTAGAGGACTTGAGTCACCAGTTTCAAGGTAATTATCTAAGTCTGAGGGAGAGGGTCTTTCTCCAAAGAAAGAAAGAAAGAACTTAACTAGATTTACTAAAAAGATTTAGAATTTTGTGAATGATGGCTCATATCATATATATTTATATTCAGACATATATGCACCTTGAAATGGGTGGACGTGCATTAAAAAACCAGGCAGTATCAGTAGTTGGAGGAAGAATCATTTTAATCGGGAAAACAGACATCATTTTTTTTTTT